GTCGGTCCTGGGGCCTGTTTTGGTCAACATCTTCATTAACAATCTGGATGATGGGATGGGTTGCACCCTCAGCAAGTTCACGGATGACATTAAGCTGCGGGGAGAGGTAGATATGCTGGAGGGTAGGGATAGGGTCTATTGTGACCTGTATAAATTGGAGGATTGGGCTAAAAGAAATCTGATGAGGGTTAACAAGGTCAAGTGCAGAGTCCTGCACTTTGGACAGAAGAATCCCGGGCTTCAGGCTGGGGACTGACTGGCTAAGCGGCAGTTCTGCAGAAAAGGACCTGGGGATTACAGTGGACAGAGAGCTGGATATGAGTCAACAGTGTGCCCTTGTGGCCAAGAAGGCTAACGGCATATTGGGCTGCATTAGTAGGAGCATAGCCAGCAGATAGAGGGAAGTGATTATTCCCCTCTATTTGGCACTGGTGAGGCCACATCTGGACTATTGCATCCAGTTTGGGGCTCCCTCACTACAGAAAGGATTAGGACAAATTAGAGAGAGTCCAGCGGAGGGCAACAAAAATAATTAGGGGGCTGGGGCACATGACTTATGAGGAGAGGCTGAAGGAACTGGGCTTATTTGGTCTGCAGAAGAGAAGAGTGAGGGGGCATTTGATAGCAGCCTTCAACTACCTGATGGGGGATTCCAAAGAGGATAGAGCTAGGCTGTTCTCAGTGGTGGCAGATGACCGAAAAAGGAGCAATGTTGTCAAGTTGCAGTGGGGGAGGTCTAGGTTGGATATAAGGAAAAATTATTTCACTAGGAGGGTGGTGAAGCACTGGAATAGGTTACCTAGGGAAGTAGTGGAATCTCCATTCTTAGAGGTTTTTAAGGCGTGGTTTGACAAAGCCCTGGCTGGGATGATTTAGTTGGTGTTTGTCGCGGTTTGAGCAGGGGGTTGGATTAGATGACCTCCTGAGGTCTCTTCCAACCCTAATCTTCTATGATTCTATGATTATTATTTTTAACATCTCATGATTTTTAAGCCAATATCATGATTTTTGGAGGGGGGGACTCATGATTTTTTAATGCTTTGAATTGATTATATTGAATAGGTGACGAGGAGTAGTTTGTGTACCATGTTCTGGTTAATAACATGAGAGGATTCCAGCCTTGTTAAACTAAATGGTCTGTTTATTAAAGTGACTATTCATAGAGCTGCTCCAACTGCAGCTTATCATTCCCAGTCATGTGAATGCAGATTGGCTTGTTGGTGCTTCCTCCAAACTCCTCCCTCATGCAACCTGTGTCCTCCCTTCCAAGTTCCATGCAGATTGCTACAAACATTCCTGTTTCCTGGTCCTGTGCATTAATAAAGTAAAATCATATAGAAGAGAGAGGTTGGGAGAATGCTATAGACAAAAAGTTTTTCTGTGGCGTAAGGAAGTTTAGCCTCAAGTACCTTCTACTCAGAATGATCATGTAAAACCACTCAGAATCAACAGATGCTTTCAGAAAAATCATTTGAATTGCACTGTTAGGCACTAATCTTCAAAAGTGCATGTGCAAAAGCAAATAGGTGTCCCCCCCCCACCAAGTGCACTCCACTCTTGATGCACACACTGTAAGGTATATAAGTATGCAAGCCATGACTTATGTACATGCATCAAACCAGACATGTCTTTTCACGGAGACTAAAATATCCACCTTACTTCCTCGCGTAATGTTGCTGACAGCTATATCAAGAGAATTGTATTACAGGATATCACAGATTGTCAAAGGTATTTAGGTGCATAGCCTCCACTGATTTCAACAGGAGTTAGGTGCCTAAATACTTTTGTGGATCTAGGCCCCACCTCTTTCCATACTGACTTAGGCCAGATCCTGCAAAAACTTTTGCAGGTGCTTAACTTTTATCATGTGAGTAGCCCATTGACTTCAGTGGGGCTACTCATGTGCTTACTGCTAAGCACACATGGTTTGTAGAACCAGAGTCTACATGCTCATGGCCTTCTGTTGAAACCATTATGGAAAACTTCTATTTTAGTTTAGTTTAATAGGATGAGACCTATAGGATTCTACGGAATGCAATAAGATTGTACAGAAATTACTCTAAAAACCTTAGCAGACCATGATATCCTTTTTATGGTTTTTTAAAAAATATCCTATAGAATTCTTTATCAAGGATATAATGTCTACAATCAATTCTATGGGATGATTAAAAAATAACCAATAAAAAGGATATCATTTTTTCTCATTCAGTTCTGTAGGACTTTTCAGTAAGAAAAGGGAAACACTTCCAATGATCTTAGAAATTACAGTGGCATTTAAATGTTCAGATCTTGTGAATTAATAATTATGCCAATAGGCCAGATTTCCACGCTAATTTCTACCCCATGAAATCCCACTGGTGCCTGGCCTTACTTGAGCTGGACAAGGTGTGAAACGGAGCAGGATTTGGCCTTGTCACCTGTAGAATATACTTCTGCCACCACTTTTCCTTATATTTCAATTTCTTCAAATCTGAGGTGAAACCCACAGGACACTTGGTACAAAAATGTGCTTTCAATAATTAAGTGCCCAGTTTAGCTGCTAAATTTAAAGCAAGGCAGGGCTATGGCACTGGATATTTTGTTGGATATATTTTCCTGTTTTGTGGGGTACTGGCTGCATGATTTGATAAAAACTGCAGCTAAATGAACTCTACAATTTGTATTCCTACAGCCAGAAGTTTATTGGCTTGCTTTTTCCCCCCGTTTGGCTCTGTCTGTAAGGTTCATTACTTACAGTTACTGCAGAATCAATCTGAACTGGCCAAAATCAGTGATGGAATTTATAGCACAATAAATGTACTGCCATACAAGCGCTGTTACACATGAAAGGGCCGGGGAATATTCTTTTCAGCAATCCTTCTACATAGCAGAATGTACTGTTTTTATCAATTTAAAAGAATCATCACAGGCATATTTTGAGAGGTGTAATCCTGACAGCTACACAGCAGATTTTCTCTGAAGCAGGTATTGTTACAGGAAAACAGTATTATTGATTAAAATCTTAGCATATTGCAAAACACAGAAGAGAAACTAAACACATCTTTTTCATTTTCCACATCAGGCCTTAGCAGCTCGATAGTACAAAAATATAATTCATACAGGCCTTGTTAAGAAAACATTTTAACACTTCTTGAGATATGAATTAATAGTTCAGCAACACTGAAATAAGAGAAATAGCTTACTGGCTGATATTGTGGTGCATGTAGAATATGAAGAGCACTCAAAGGTAATATATTAAGTATGGCATCAAAAGTTGTACGTTTATAAAGTCTGTAAGTTAAGATTTACATTGGTATTTAGTCTATTTTTCTTTCTAAGTGTCTATGTTATGGACATAGTGCATTTTACATAATTTTGAAACACAGAAAGTTTTAACTTTAGCTTGATGCATTGCAAAAAACTATAGAAAAGATAGATGGCAGGCTGTCCTCCCCAAAACTCAATTTCATAATATGCATGTGATTGCTAATAGGCAGGCACTAAAAAACAATTTTCCTTGACGGAGAAGAGCTGATAAATTGTCAACATAAACTTCATCTGTGGTTGCTCCAGTGATCTAAAGCTCTTCTGTGAGTTTTGTACCATCAAAGTCTGCTTCTTACAACCGTATCAAAATTTATGAATGCATCTAACTATAAAGTGACTGAAAAGAACCCATAATGCAAGTTGTTTATTGTGCATCAGCTTTTTGCTTCTTCAGTACATGCAGAAAACACTTTGTCCAGTTCCCCTTTCCTTACTTTCTACGTGTGGTAATGAAAAAAGACAGGCTAGATGGAAGATTTTCCTGGGAATTGACTTAAAACAAGGGCCTACTTTTACAGAAATCTTAGACTCAGACAGAGAGGTGAAAGTGCACTGAACTAATCTACATGACCTTTGTAGATATACAACTTCTTGAACTACCATTAGCATCGATAGCATTCTATTATTTGGTAAAAAGGAAATCTCCAATCACTTGAGCACGGAAAATAAAAACCAACTCAGATAATGGTTTTCAACAAGATACACTAGTGTTTCGTATTAGCTTTCATACAGTGAGAAAACATGCACAGACACTGCAAAAAGTTTCCAAAAGTGGAAAGGCTTATTCAGTTTACAGGAAATGTAATTAAGCATTCAATTCATGCAGGCAAAAATTCTTGAGAAAAAAATCCAAACTATGTATGCATAGAATAAGACTTGTTTCTATTGAAATCCAAAGAATTTCAGCTCATATGCGGTGAAGGGGGAGCTGTACAAGGAAGGCTGGATGGCTCCCCATTGTTCCTGACGTTAGAGCCCCAAATTCCCTTCCACAGCTCCTTACACTGGGTTAGGAAAAGAGGATGGTCAGCTCCCTACTTTCTGAGATGTAGGAGCCCCAAATATGCCTTACTCAGCTCCCATAAGAGATGATTTCCTTCAAATTTTTTTCCAATCCATTTTATCTGATAACCATATCCCTTCCATAACAAGCACCTGCATTGGACATCTGCCCCAAATTTTATGTACTAAGTTGAGACATTATAACCAAATCCCTCTACTCCACCCCACCGGGTCCCAGGCCTGCTCTGGGAAAGTGGAAAAACCCACCATGCCTTGGCCAATCTGGGGTGAGGGAAAAATTCCTTCGCAGCCCCCTAAGGAAAAGGGTAAATAGTGTAATAGCCACAGTGGGTCAAGAGGGAGCCTAGTCCTTTTGCCAAGTTCATGAATGGCTGGATGCTGCCAGCCCCATCCTGGTAAAGAGGGCCTCTCTGGGACTGTAAAGGGTATAAGTACCACCCCACTCTTTCAGTCAGCAGGAAGGGCAGTGCAGTGACCTTCTCTTGACCTGACCCCAACTGATTCCTGCCCTTCCTGTCCATCCTTGTAAACCTTCCCCCTCCTCCTCCTCACCTAAGGTGACCAGATGTCCTGATTTTATAGGGACAGTCCCGATTTTGGGGTCTTTTTCTTATATAGGCTCCTATTAGCCCCCACCCTGTCCCAATTTTTCACATTTGCTGTCTGGTCACCCTATACTCACCCATTGTAGGGGAGCCTTTAAAGAGGCAATGCCCCTTTTCTACCAGCCAACTGGACCAGGGTCCCCTTGCATGAAAGGTTGCACTGAGCACATATAATTGGTCAGTGGAAAGACTATAAAACAGTATAATCAGGGCCTTCTGATCAGGAAGAGACATCACTGTTTCTATTTACAAGGAGGTGATCATCAGTGTAAAGTGAAACCATGGAGTTATCCATAATTCTTAATACTTCTTTTGGTTAAAGAAATGCTGTCAAGTTTGTAAGGCTCAAAACTTGATGCAGGTTTTCTTTCTTAGGTCTTTGCAAAGTCTATATGATTTCCACCTTATTTAAAAAATAATGATTCTTAGGGAAAAAATAAAGAACACCGCCAACAGCCCACCACTTATGAAGGACTTAATCCTGCAGTCATTAATTCAGGGAAAATTCCACCAAATTCAATGGGACTTTTGCCTAAGTAACAGTGTTGGGTTTAGGCAGATATGCTTGTTCAGGCATATTTGGGCAGATTCAATTAGGTGTCCAGGTACCATAATTGCAAGTACTACATAAATATCCACATTACATTAGTTTAGGATGGAGAAACAGATTAGATAGAACATACAATTACAAGTTAGTATGACTACCTAAGGGGTGGAGAGAATGGTAGTAAAGAATCCAATTTCAGCTAGAAGTTTCCAAAGTGATTTTACAAACAAAAGTGTAAAACATATTGTTTACAAGTGATGAAACAGACCTTATCAGTGTCCTTTTAATAACAAGCAATTCATACAGAAATGTGCACAAGACATTCAAAGAGAGAATGAAATACCTATTCATAAAAATATGTAATAAGTCACCTACTCAAAGCTCAGACCTCTGTATACATTCTACATGGACTCTGGAATACCAGTTCTACAATTACATTTAGGTGAAAAATTATCCTCGGTTGTAATATACTGGGTTGTTTTTTATTTTCTTGTTTCCCAGTTATTGGTGGAAATTAAGAAAGCCTTGTTTTTCCACAATTATTACCAAAAACTGATGTATTTCTTTTAACCAGTCACAAAATGGTTGGTTTTTAGGAAGAGCCATGTTAAAAAAATATTGTAATAACAATTAAAATTACTTATTTCGTACTGGTTATAGATGTATTAAAGTGTATAAGCTCCAGGGTCAGTATAAGCCTTGCTCAGCTTTCTTTAAAAGCATTGGGAGTAATAAAGACTTCCATTTTATCTTCAGTGAAATAATACTGCTGAAATATTACCTCATTTTTGATGTCAGCGATGATTTCTTTTTACCTCCATGATGTCAAAAGGGAATTATTATTATTAGAATGACAGCTTCCTAATGATGCTGTAAAAAGAAGACACTGAAATCATTACAACCAAACATCTACATTGTGCCTTCTTATTGGTTAAGGTTTTCTCCAAGCCTCATAGATAATATGATATTCCTTTGCTTCTATGATTGTACAAAACTTATAGTTAATGGAATAAATCAAGGGCAAGTACCTCAGAATTTAGAAATGGCAGAATAACCATTTCTCTTTATTTTTTTTCTTTAAGGGCCATGTTTCAAACAACTCTAGAGAAATGGAGAAATGGACATCTGGATATGAAGAAAATCCAACTTCTGGAAATTTCTGAAATATATGGATAGAGCTAAAATTATATGGATAGTGGCCAACTTTCCCTCTAAGAAAGGCAGCAGCAGCATTCAAGTGTATCCCCTGTACACAAGTTACTGCATCAGGATAAAGCTACAAACCCAGAGGATCAGGGTATCTGATAGTGGTTCTCTGCATTCTGCCACTGGCTTCATGTGTGATACTGAGACAATCACTTAATCTTTCTGTGCTCTGGTTTCCCCATCTGTAAAATGGGAATAAAAATGCATACACATCTTTTTAAACCACCTCGAGATCTATAGGGCAACATTGCTGTCTATGAATGCTAAATATTATTATTTCTAATAAGCAAAGCTGGGCTACAAAAACTATGGACCTTGCACCTTTTGTTGCCATTTACACATGTAAAAAGTGAATGAACAATGGTGCAAAATGTTAGTGAATGGAGAATTCAGATTTGTTGCCATTTTGCACTCTCTTTGCCCAGGTGAAAGTAGCTACATAAGGTGCAAGGCAGTGCTGAATCAGGCACTTTATCCCAATATTTTCACACATATACATTTTACACAATACTTAATTGTGATTTAATATTTAGGGTTTTTTCCTGACAAAAACATTACTTTTATTTAGTGTATCAAGGACCTGACACAGAGTCAGAAGCCAAGGAAACAGAACACTGGTCAATTTGAACTGCTGGCTATAAGCTGGAAGTCCCACTTCACAAACAGTATCTATAGGAGCCAGATAAATCCTAAAGCCGGTACCTCTTTGGAGTTGGAAAATGAATTACAGTTTTGAAAAACTATTGATAACATTAATAAAATATTCATTTATATAAAAAGAACAGACTTGGTGAGTATTATTCTATGTTCTCTTTGGCATCTCTGTTTAAATATAGGCCTTCTTCCTCTCCTCAGGACTGTCATTTACTTGGTGGGCAAAAGCCTAACAGGCCAACACCACAACGCATCCCATGAAATTACAATCCACCCCTCCAGATAGAGGCAAAACAGTACTGGCTCTTCCTTGCTTGCTTGAAAAAGGGGAAGCCTCTTCTCCTTGTCCCTTTCCTCTCCCTCTCCCCACTGCTGGCAGGGAGCCCTACATTTTCTCCCATACTGGCTTCCAGGATGAAGATGGCTTTCCCTTCCCTTTTGTCTCTTCTCTTCATGGCTGTTCTGCGAGGTGAACTAGGGAAGTCCTCTCCAGTGTTCCCCATTAGGGTTCTAGTAAACTTCAAGCTGCTGGGTCTAATAGTTTATTATTTGGCATTTCATTTTAACAGGTCAGCAATCAAAACAAGTGAGGTACCAATTACAGGAGCTGAACTATCAGTTACAGGAACATGGAAGAAGATTTGGCAGTACACCTATAATAGACGTAAGGATGGGCTAGGGTTAAAGCACTAAATTGGAACTTAGAAGATCTGGGTTCAATTCCTGGTTCTGTCACAGCTTTGTGTGTGATCTTGGGTGAGTCACTTAATCTTGCTGTGCTTCATCCGTAAAATGGGTTGAATATTTTTCCTAACACTGAGGGGCGTTTCAAGGATAAATTCATTAATATAATGAAGATGATGAATACTGAAGATTAGGCAATAAAACAATAATGACATGATGATGCCGATGCAGGTGAGAACCTGGATACAAAATAACAGGAAACTTGAGAAGAAACACTGGTAAAAAATAAAAGGTAGGAGGTAATGATGCTTTCCAGCTTCTCCTTAATTATGTGATGGGATCATTCAGTGTTTACAACATCGCTATCCAATGACAGAAAAAATGGATCTGTTACAGCAAAAACAAAGCATGAAGAATTGTCACATGGACAGACAGTACGCTAAACAGGCTACATGTCTTCAACCAGGATAGCTTTCATGAAACTAACAAAGAAGTGGCCTCCTTCTGATGGCGATGTGGATGCCAAGCATATCACATTATGTATTTGTATCAGGAAAATAGTGAGAACAGTGAAGAAAAAATTACAAACAGTGAATGGATTCATGATTATGTCAGATATCTTTAATGAACATGAAAACTCTTCATTAAAGGTATTTTCTCTACTATTTTTTTCACTTTGAAGGGCATATGATTTCAAAAATGGCAAATTTACTAACGAGTCCCAGCCTGTGTAGTTATATAATTGCATGGTTGCACAATCTTAGTCCTAATCAGGTAATCAGACGCCATTCAGAATGCACTATTTATTTATAGTAAGGTCTATATTAAATGATACAATTAACTAGATTATTGCAGTTAGCCAGTGGCTTCAGTAGAAGGTGCTATACCACCCCCTGGCCTCAGAAAGGAAAATTGTCTCCCAGCACCCTGGACCTCTCCATGGGCTAATGTGGAAGGAGGGAGGAAGTTCCATGGCTTTACCTCCTTCCTGCACAATCCCTGCCCTCCCTCGAGTACAAGACCTGCAGTTGTCCCTGGCAGCTGTGCTAGGTGCATGAGAATGAGGACATTTGTGGGATCCTTCCCTATGAACTCCTGTGCAATGTTAATCAGATGTTAATAATTGAATGGAGTCTTCAAGTTTAGTGAATAACTCTTTTCAGAAGATATTTATAGTATATTATTCAGAATTTTCCAAGTAATTTTCTTAGTAAAATATTTACTAACTGATGTAAAGGAAACAATGAAAAAAATGCTTCCTTTTTAAAATTGGTCCTTAGAGTCTTGTGTATTTTTGCCTCCCTCTAGCTAAACAGTCCTACAAACTCCAAATACACACACCCACACCCAATTTCATAACATGTCAGGAACTTGTCATATTTTACACTGAAATATCAAATCAGTCATTCCCCTATTTCATCATATCTTCATTTAGCTTCAACAGGAAAAGAAGATGGAGCTTTTCAGATCTACCAGTTACTTCCACTCACTGGTGCTACAAGGGGCACCTTCCTCCATAGAGGAGCTGATTTCCTGGAAACTTGGGTTTCAACTGTCCTCTATTCCAGTCCTATCCATAGCTACTTGTTACTTATAAGGGCTAGAAGACAACAGGGAGAAGGCTCATAGGGTCACACAAGCTTATTCTTTTAACTATTATACCGTATTGTTGCTAAAAGATGATCTATTATATTTTGGATAATTGTTTACATATCATGGGGTACTGTACTGTCCCCCACCAGTTCTTATCCTCCAACAGTACGCAATATTTAAAAGAAAAATGAAGGTATGTTTGCCTGGGCATATGAAAGTTAATGCATGAGGGAAGCAGTTAGTCTAGGGTGAAAAAGAAGGTTCTTGTTTCAACACTCAAATGGAAACAATTACATTTATTCTTACAAAAATATAATTACGTTTATAGATGCAGAATATTTCAGACACACTCTGAGCACTATGGAAATAATTATAGAACCTTCTTCTGGAAATAGTCTTTTTATTCCACAGTTCACCTGACTTTCAGAAGAACACTGAAACATCACTGTTATATTATCTGCAAGAAGCCTGATTGTCTTCTTACTTACACCATGTAAATCAGGAATAGCTCCACTGAAGCCAATGGTAATACATTGGAGTAAAATGGGTGCAAATGGGAGGAGAAGCATACCTAACATCAGATGTTTAACTTACTATATCTATTAAGAGAAGACGCTATGATTATGGATCATGAACTTTATGTTTCCTAATCAGCCATTGCTAACTTCATTTTACCAGATCTGGGTGACATGCAAAAACTGAGAAATGAATGTTCTCACACAGACATATTGAGCTGAATTCAGTCCTGCTAGTAGCAGATACAATTCCATGAAATTCAGTTCAGTTTCACCTGCATACAACAGGGTTTGAATCTGGCTTACAGTTGCTAGTTGAATAAAATATTACCACCACTTGTGCACAGATGGACTGTTTCTGCAGAAAGGAACAGACGTGTGGTGGTCTTCCACACTAGCTTAGCATCAGATGCATCATTTTCAATTAATCAACTCCTTGTTTTTTCCTAGCCTACTCTGGATAGCAACATGGTAGTGCTGAATGCAGGAGACTGGACTAGAAGATCTCTCGAGGTCCCTTTCAGTCCTAGGATTCTATGAATACTGAGCCACTGTGACATGTTGTGGGGTTGGCTAAAAAGGGACACACACAGTGGAACACTTTATAAAATATTTACATGGGCAAAGGGAAGTGGGCCAAACCCTCCACTGGCACTAGCTAAGCAGAGCAGCAAGAATGAGCAGGGGTGTTAGCAGGAGCATTTTCTGCACAAGAAATCCTGCCAGACTAGTAGGCAGACCCACACGAACTGTGGGGCTCATATGGCTGCTCTACTGAGCAGGTTGATCCACTGCCAATAATCACTCACTGGCTGATGATAGCAGTGGATACGCTAGTCAACTTTGGGAACTGAATACACCTTTGCTTCAACAGACCCTTCCCCTTTGGGAACATGGTGAATGCTAGGGATTTCTCCTAGCACACACTTATGTGCCATGAGATATTTTGTCTGGTTATTTTTGTGGTGAGAAGAGAATGCCACCATTCTCTTTCCACTGCTCTCTGCTTATTAGCACAGCAAATGATAGGCTGTAGCCCTGTGAACTTTGTAAGTTCCTCCCTTTCAAACTTACAAAACATTCACTTATGTGTTTAAAATTCACATAACTGTTCAAATAATTCACATGCATATTCCCCTATACATTCAAAAAATCCAGATGACTATAGTTGCCAATGAATGTGCTGCACATATGCTGTAGTCTGTGGTCCTTCTTAAAGAATAACATAATTAGGTTCTCTTCTTCTTTCTGGAATATTTTAATATGTATAGGACTGACTGCTGATCTCACACGTGTTTTACACCAATATAACCTCACTGACTTTAATGGAGTTAGCTCCAGATTTAAGATGCTGTGTGACCAAAAGCAGGACCCCTGGTTGCTAAATTTGTGATGATATTCTCTATAGCTGTTTAGTGGATTTATGGATGGAAATAACTGATCTCTCTCTGAAAGACTGAGTTTGCTTAACTTAATATTTTACTTCTCTTTTAGAATCTAGTTTTTGAGCTAAGCCAGCCTCCATTTACACAGTATGGAACGTATTGCACCTGCAGTCAGAACTCAAAGGCTGTGTGAAAATTTAAGACGAGATTCAGGAGAAACAATGATTTAGGTGTCAAGAATATTACATCTGCAGTCATCATGAGGAAGTCTGGGTCAATGATCAAAGCCTGAGTCCTTCCAGGTCTCCATTGACTGCTACTGAAAAGGCCTTTTACATAAGAGTAGCTAGCTACTTTCTTACATGGTCCATATCAGCATATATTTGAGCATCTCACACATTAATTAATGCATTCTTTCAGTATCTCTCCGAGGTAGGGAGGTGTTGGCATTTCCATTTCAAAAGTGCTCAGCATTTAGAATAAGAACTTGACAACAATGGGAGCTGGCAGGTGCGGTGTACTTTTTGAAAATCTGGCCACTTTATTTAGGTGCTTAAATAGGAACTGAGTTCTTTTGGAAAAAATGACCCTATGACTTACCCAAGATCTTACAACCATTCTATAGCAGAGCCAGGCAATGAACCCAGATAACCCTAGTCCCAGGATCATTCTTTCTCCACCATATTGGTATATTTACAGGTAGACACTGTTGTCAGATGCTACCGGTTTGGTGCTCTGCTTTCTCCTATGTTGATATCACTCGGCTGCGTGCATGTGTTCCCTCTGTGTGCTGTCCCAGCTCTGCAGATACTGACACAGCAAACCCTACGAGAACCCCCAATAACCACAGAGTCTAGTAAGATGCAAAGTCACGTCAAGTAGGTTTATTGCGACCTCGGACACAACTGCAGTTCCCTGTAGATTACTTAGTCTACCGGGCATACTATTAATAGATGCCTCTTGGCAATGGACCCGGCTCAGTCAGTGGCGGGACTTTCCACTGCCCCCTCGGCCGGACAAAGACACCACCCCAGGGATACATTCTTATACACAGGTACAAACAAGTTACACATCACTCCTGACGTATTGAGGTGCAACCCCTCTACGCAGCAAGGTACAACCCTTCTACGTAGTAAGGTGCCGCCTCTCACCTTGTACATGTTGGTTCCATCAAAACAACTCTATCCATCATTTTACCCTTTTGCCCCTGTCATTGGGATGGGTCGGCCTGTTCCATGTTATCTGTGGAATGTTCCAGTATAGTATGTCTTGGTACCATGTCTATAGTTTAACTTTGCTAGGTGAATATATATTTATGCAACATCAGCCCTTTCCTTGCCAGCTTCTGTGAGCAGGGCCTGCCTCTGTCTCACAGCTTAACTTTTGCTTAGTGAAGTCTTGACCATTACTCTAGTTCAGGCCTCAGGCCTCATACTGGGCCTTCACTTACTACAGACACATCATAAAGCTCAGATTGGCATGTTAGTGTTGTGTTCTTTTCTAAGAATGCTGCATCCTTACTAACAGACAAGCTTCCTTTTGCCTAAAGGTCATCGATTTACATGGGCAAATTCTAGATCAGTTCTTCCTCTCTGACAAATTACCTGCGAGTCTCCTCATTGCTGAGGAAACTGGGATAAGTATGTGCTGACATTTAGAAAATTCTCTGTATAATATGTTTCCTGATGTTGGTTTCTTATTCCTCCTTCCCTGGGTTAGTGTGACTCAAGGTGGTGTGGCTGGAGCCTTGTGATGAAATTTTGACTTCTACAGCTTGCTTCTTGTATAGAAAGGTCACGCTGTGCTCTCAGGTCCTATCTTATCAGGAAAGATAAGGAAGCCTGACAGAAATTCATTTGTGAGATCCAAAAATGAAAAGCATTCAGGACCAAAATAATGAAAGAGAGGTAAAGAATTTAGACCAAACTGTTCAAACCTGATTGCTTAAACTTAAATCCATACTTGGATACCACAATAAAAGTGGTCTGATTTTCATGAGTGTTGCACAGCCACAACTTCCACTGAAGTCAGTAACAGCTGAAGGTGATCAGCTCCCCCTAAAAATCAGGCTACTGAATATTAACATTTTGGTCCTTAGTTCTAAAGATTCAGAAAGAAATGTCTGGAATCAAGCAACGGGTGCACTGGTTCTAGCCAACCAATAGAGACTTGGCAATCATGATCATTTATGGTTCATTTAAATCTTTTAATTCAATTAAAAATAGGTAAGAATATATGGAGTAAATTCTGGCCTTCCATGATTGTGCTGCACCATAAGTGTTTAAAAATCAAAGTGGTGCCAGGAATGTTTTCAGTAGTAGAGCCATCTGTTAATGCCGAGCAGGATGGCTTAAAGTCCACAGTGGAACACCCCCTGGTGGGCCTTTAAAAAAGAAGCAGGCCTTCCCCACCTGTTTAGCATCTACTGCAGCCCAGTTCTAGAGCATAGACATCTTGCAGATAAAGATCTAAATCCTTAAAGGTGAGATTTTCAAAAGGCACAAAGGGCAGGCAGGCATCCAACTCCCTAAATTCATGTAGCTGGAGTAGCGTAACTTAGGTCGACTTACTGCGGTGTCTACACCATGCTGGGTCGATGGGAGAGCGTCTCCCATTGACTTACCTTCCTCCTCTCATTCCCGGTGGAGTACCGGAATCGGAGAGCACTGTGCCGTCGATTTAGCGGGTCTTCACTAGACCCACTAAATCGACCCCCAGTGCATTGATCGGAGCAGTGTCAATCACTCAGTAGTGTAAACGTAGCCTAAAACATTAAACTGAGGTAAACTAGAAATTAGAAAAAAATCGGGAGTCTCAAGAAAATGATCTGACATTATGAGAACTCTGAATGCGAATGTAAATTCTACAGGAAGTTTGGATTTCAAGCACTAAAAAAATATGCAACTGGCTACCAACTTTACTACGATTTTAATAGAGACTTCACAATAGAGAACACAGCCATGTGAAAATGTCTAATTATAAACTAGTGTGTAGAAAATTAGCACTGGACAATAGAAAAACGTAATTAACTTAGACCACAAAGACTAATTTGTGTAAATTATTTTACAGACTTTCAAACATTTTTTCAGTTTTGCAGGTACACGTTTTTCAACATTATTTTTATTTACAGATATAGAGTGGTCAAGTATACAATGTGACTGTACAGGCTGTACCATCCTTTTGGCTGGCCTGCCCTGCAGGCTGTTGGGCAGAAGGATGGGGACATGCTCCCACTTCCGCCCCACCCCCTGTCAGATGCCTAGTATCCTGGGAGGTGCAGACAGGGCCACTGAGAGCAGGTTCAGGCCCCGGTGAAAATTTTTTTTTGGGCCCCCCAGCAAGAGCGGACCAGCTAAACAGGGCCGACAAGGGGGGGAAGCCGGGCCCGGAATTTTTTCGGGCCCCCCAGCAAGGGCGGACCGGCTAAACAGGGCCAACGGAGGGGGTGGGGGGAAGCCGGGGCCCCTTCCGGACCGCCGGGCCCCAGTAATTTGTGCTGCCCCCCCCTCCCCGTCGGCCCTGGGTGCAGAGGTATTAGATCCTGATCATCACAACATATCACAGTGGATCAGGAAACGTATCATTTGATTTGACATCGTCGTCAATTAAAACTGGCTTTGATCATGTCTAAAAGTAGAACAATATAAACTCTGAACTCAGGTCTGAGTGTTTAAGAGACAGATGAGGCATACCCCCCCCCCCCCGAGTAAAACAAAGAGGGAAGCAGATAAAATGGAAAGAAAATCCAAAAAAAAGTAAGGTCTCTTTATATTGATGAAAGAAGGCAGAAAAAAGATAAAGTGATACATTTCTAGCAATGAGAAGCACAGTAAGCCTTGGCATCATGTATCTTAGATAACAGCTGTAACAGTAATAAATCCTGAGGTTTGCAGTGAATTGAACCATTATCATTGTTTCTTTTTATTTGTTTTCATTGTATTTTGTCAGCTGACTACATGCCTTCTTGCTTTACTCTTATACGTTTTTGGTTTACTTCCTGAAAATAAAATAGATATACAACAATGCATGTATAATCTTTCCCTACAAGCTCCCAGCATAAGCATGGGCGAAGCTCTATTCAGGAAAAGGAGGAAGATGGAACACACTGAAAAGAGAATGGGGAGGCGGGGTCAGATGAATCATGTAATGATTTCCCTATTCTAGATAAAAACAGCTGTTTATATGAGCATAATTTAAAGGACAAGAGACTAGGCTTTCATCTGTAGTGATAATTTAGGACTAATTAAATCTGTCCTAAAGGGGGATGGACTAGATCAATACAAATGATTCAGCAATCTCATTTTCGGACCCGTTCTCAATCTTACGCAATTTCTTCTGAGGCAGGGGCTCTCCCATTGTGCAGACTGCCCAAACACCTCATGGATCATCTGATTCACTTACTGTCTATAGAAGCCGTTTCTTGGGTTAGCCTTTAGAGCAGCAGGACTTACTGAGTGATCCCACATTGTCTCATGGCACAGAACTTCGCTGTGTGCCTTGCTATGCTGCACTACTTTTTCATATTGGGGGTAGTCATGTGTCTTTTCTTTGTGGCATGTCCACAGCTGCAGTGCAATTTGGATAGTGCTCCTTCCTTTGTCTATCTTATTTTTTAGTTGCCTATCCGTTGCACAAGGCTCTTTGTCCTTTCTGTTTATTTTAATAAAACATGCCTGGACCCAAAAAGGTTCTGGAGGGCTTGACTCTGGTCTACCACTGGATTTCTGATGGTCAATGAAGAAGATGGGAGCTTTCCTGTAAGTGTCATTGGCACTCACTAGAGCAATTGAATTTTATTCTTCTTGGCAGGTTTAATAACAAAGGCTGATGTGTTCTTTATATTTGGATATAAATTACAAAAATTGAGAATTATATTTAAATAAAAAAGGTCTTATGTTGATATATAAATGTACATGATTCACTTTTCCAGCTGTCAATATACCATTTTATTAGGGGTCACTATGCTATGGACAACTATCTAAACGTAGCCTTAACTATAGTGTCTTAAACTATAGTTCAAAAACTGTCTGAACTTCAACACTTCCAAAAAAAGTGTATTTTTCTTCTTTCGTAAAACAAAACAGACAACCCCCCAGAACATTCTTATACAAACATCTTTAAAACATGTTAAAAGTGTGGCATAAATCTACTTTAACAGAGATAAAGACCAATCCTGTTTTGCTGTTCCATAGTAGATTATGTGGCCCCCTATTTGGGCCTACACCAACATAGGATTATAGGAATACAGCCAAAATGGAGAGAAATAAGGATGAAACTTCAGCACTTGAGACCAGTTTCCCGTATTCTGTAACATTCACTGCTGGTGAAAGATGGCAGAATGAAAATCTTGAAAAGTGAATTCTTCTACTTATTCACAATCCAATTACAGCACAGCCAACTACGATGCAAGTTCCCTGCCAGTGTAACCAAGTCCTAGCTTAGAGGCACCATGTCTAAGGCTACATCTACACTGCATGCTTCTTTTGACGATGTGCTGAGTATGTGCACAAGTAGCTCTCACTCCCGGCATGGGTTAAAGTAACAGTGTAGACAGTGAGGCCTGGCTAGGGTGAATAGAGTACAGGCACGCCTGAAGGGTGTGGGTACTTACCCAAGTACGTACCCTACATAGCTCTCTACTTGCCCAAGCCATGCCTCCCCATCTACACTGCTATTTTTACCCGTGTACTGTCCTGCAGCCTCCCAGTGGCTAGAATCTTTCTCTGCCATAGGAAAAGACTCCAGCAGCAGGGAAAGACACTGGCAGCCTGAAGGCAGCAGGGAAGGGCTGTGGCAGTTCCCCGCTGCTAGAGCATTTTCTTGCTGGAGGGAAAGACTAACCCGCAGCTCCCTGTTGCTGGAGGTTTTCCTCACTGCAGGTAAGGACTCCAGCAATAGGCAGGCTGATAGGAAAGGCTCTGCTAGCTCCCCACTGCTGGAGCCCTTCCCCACTGAAGGTAAAGACTCTGACAAGTGGGGAAAGGTTCTGCTGCTGAAGCTTTCCCTGCGGCTTCCCCCCTGCCACAGTCTGTCACTGACATATACACATGGCAGTGTGAGCACAGCTTGCTTTTCACTGAGGCTTGTAGCTATGCCACCCTATATGCCACCAAAAGTGGCGAGTGGTATAGACGTAGCCTAAGGGTGAGAGGGTTGTTCAACTTCCACATCCATTCATTCCTTTGCCTCCCTCCCAGAACTGCTAACGAAGGTCCCAGTGTCAATGTTTTCTGTGATGTGGCAACCTGCCCAGTATGAATTGTATTGAGACCATCAATTCAAGTGTTGACAACTAAACAGCCATCCGATGATAACTTTTGGTGCCTTATGAAATCAGTGACTTGGAGTGAAAGACTCTAAATCCCATTAACAACAACTTGAAATCA